CTAACATGCAATCCGTCTGTGATGTTCAGATCAAATATAAACATGCAAGACTCATTAAGCTTTGTGAAAACCCTTTGAAAAACCATGCAACCCTTAAGAGCGTGATGTTCGCCTTAAGTGAACTTACAATTACTAATCACAAGAAGCCCTCCTCAATTTCAGGGTGATGTTCCAACAGAAATTGCATCAATTTACTTGTCTACATATCCTAATGGTGATCAGTCATTAAAATAGATAGATAGTTTTAAACACAGTGATTAATAATTCAAAGCAAACATGCATCCATTCATAAGCAAATTAATAAAACTACATATTCATGCTAAGGCTTACGGCCTCACCCTAGCAAAAGGAATTAGTTACACATAATCATAATTGAAATCCAATAAAATATCATTCGAATGAGTAAGAATGAAAACACCTGAAAGTAGCGAAAATCCAAAACCCTAGCAATTGCTCCCAAAGCCAAAAAGAAGTTCTAAAAAGAGATCCCTAACTTGCTGTGAAAAGGAGCTTAAATACCTCCTAAAACCTAGCTACCCAATCCCCATAAGGAAACTAAGTTAAAGTAAAATAAGACTAGGAAATAAAGTCCAAATTGGATTAGGAGAATCTGCCCATAATCTGCCCAGCCACGTTTTAGTCTCAAATCTCCCCCAAATCTGGCCCAAGATAGCTCGTTTTAAAGATAAAAATATTCCGAACACTTCTCCAGAAGGCCACGAACCCATCCGAGGTCATCTTGGGCTCCAAAATCGCAATAAAAGCCCAAAACGTCACTATTCCAGCATAGCGCACTGCTCCTTCATTTATTCGCCAGGAAATCATCGCTTGGTGGAAAAGTCTGATATTTTGATACGATCAAGCTAAGTGACTCACGTACGTCCTCCAATTGGAATTACTCCAAAATTCGTTCATTTGATTATGTTTTGCTCCAGAGGAAGTCGAAAGTCCTATATTAGAAATATAATTCAAAGTATCAAAATTCTTCCAACATATTAACCAAAATATACTAAGAATGAGGTTAAATATATAATATAAAATCGACTCATCACAACCTCAATGGAGACTTGAGAATAAACTTTGAGTTAAAACTGGTGGGACTAATGTGATATGATGATGAACTGAAATCAGTAATGGAATTTTAATACTGACCTGATCTGTAAAGAGCCAAATGTATGTAATAACTTAGGAATACTGCAGCCATTTGACAACCAAAACAAATAAGCTAATGTTTTGTTAGATGCATCCATGGACATTGTCTTTTGCTGATTTCATTTACTTTTTGCCTTGCTTTGCATGCCAAATTGTTTGATATCTACATCTGATATGCAAGTTATTAATCACATGATGTATGCATTTTGCAGCTTCAGCAGTAGGACCTTTCTACAAGGAGATCCGTTTCTTGGAATTTTCAGGACTCTTGATCTTTTATCCCCTCTGTTGGTTACGTTCATGGTTCGTTTTCTCTATGCAAAGGAGAATTTGCAAGGCACACAAAAACACCACAGCACAATGATGTGCCATGCTTAGTTTTGTTTTGGCGAGGATGGTAGAGTGTCCATGTGAAAAGTTTGACACAACGGGTTCCTTATGCAACAACACATATAAAAGCGAAAAAGGTGGCAGGTCATAGCCAAAAAGGTGGCAGGCCTATCATCTCTGTTTTACATTTGTGATGTTGCAACTACCGGAAGGTCACTCCAAAGGGAAAACCTCCTAGAGATAGTGTGACCAGTTGAAGAATACTTAGCTTGCAGAATTTTCAAAAAGAACCATATCTTTCTTGAAATCAATTGTAAAATATGCAGGCTCTTTTTGAGCATTTGCAATGCAAGGCAAAGTAAAAATTGATACACAATTTGTATAGGTTAGTATCATATACTTGTGAAGGGGCGGTGACTACATCTTTGTATGAAAAAAAAAAATTCATGGTGAATCATTGAGTGGCCTGATCCCTTTTTGGGTGCCTCTTGTTTTTAATCCTGACGTGAAGAATTAAAAAGCCAAATGGTTCCTCAAAGAGGCCTTGGTATGCCTTGACCTTGGGATGGGGTAGCCTCCCCTCCTCCTAAACACATGCTAGAGCTTTCACTTCATATACTGCAAGGTGAGTCTTGTTTATGGCAAGGAGATGCAGCTCATTCTGGTGAATTTGGATGTAAGTATCTGACAATGATCTCAACTCCTTCCCATCTGGAATCTGCAACAATTTGCTTCTCTGTTTTTCCCACACAAAAATCTGCAGGGCCAAAACGACGTCGTTAAATAACAGAAGTCACATTAGAGTAGAAGCCATGTCTGAAAGTAATATTGTAGTTTCCAATATGCATCAGCACCAGAAGAAACTAGTACATTCAGAGTGTTCGAGAAGGCAAGGCTAGTGACTCTTTTGGAGTGACCCTCAAGCTTCCTTGTAACCTGCAAAATATTTAAATCAAGGCAATGACAAACTTTTCGGGTTTGCTTCATCACAACATCGAGCATGATTTGTTTTATTACAAGAACAAACAAATTTCCTTGTCTGAGTGGAGATTGTATATTACAATGGTGGAATTGTCCATGCCAATAGCAACTATACCATCATCTCGGGAGTGAAAAGCAAGACATGTTGCTGCAGGTGGCGGTGGCCTGACTTTCTTCATCGTATGCGTTTTTACGCAACAGATTTTTATGAGTACAATGAGTTAGAGCATGAGAAATTTGCAAACAGAACCTAAGCATATTGACAAACAAGATTTGGGAAGTTTTGGCTGGGAAAAGAAAATTTCAAGAATACTATGTGTTGGGTTTACCTTAAATGTTGTCATGTCAAAAATGGAGATCACCCCTCCTGTTGCTGATATAAGATATTTTTCATTCTTGGACAAATCAAAGCAGGACATAGAGTCTTCAGGGTTGGTGCTGGGAAGGTCATTGTTCATCAGCTCTAAGCCACTCCTTGGTTTCCATAAATTAGGGTGAACCTTGGGAGTTGCCTGCGTTCAATCAATATCATTAGAATCAAATGACCAACTGTCGCTTCGGTTTCAATTCGAAAGGAAAGAGAGGAGAAATCTAATAGGAAAGAATTATAAAGCATGTCATTCTTTACCACTCCACTAGAATTAAGGTCCTGTGGCCATTTCCAGAGAAAATGAATGCCATTTGATGCTAACACCAAATGGCATCACCTCCATTTGTGTAGAACAGCCTTGATATAATGAGAACCTACCAAAACATTTTAATGGCGAAATTTGAAACTTAAATATTAGATATTCTCATGTTGATATGCTCCCAATGCATAGGCAGAGAAAAACTATAAATCAGTCTCAGAATTGAGAGACCTCATATTGAATTATTTATTTTTCTTTTTCTGAAAGATAGAGTACTTTCAGACAGAATTGCAATTATGAAACTAGTATAGCCGATCGGCTATACTATTTATTTTATTTATAAAAATAAAATAAAAATAATTATATATATATTCTTTTATAAAATGAAACCGCCTAGCCCGCCTAGGCGGCCGATTTTTCGAAAACTTGAATTGCATTTTTTTTAAAGATTTCTTTTTTCCTGGCGGGTCTATTGCAATTATGAAACTTAAATATAGTATAGCCGAGCGGCTATACTATTTATTTATTTATTTTTAAAAAAGAACCGCCTAGCCCGCCTAGGCGGCCGATTTTTCAAAAACTTGAATGGAGTTTTTTTTTTCAGATTTCTTTATTCCTGGAGGGTCTAGCATCTCTGCAAGTACATTTTGGCAATTCTCAGTACCATAAGATGGGCAAAAAGAGTAAATCAAAAACTCCCAGAGAGATGCAAGATAATATAGCTGTTGGTATCGGTGGCAGCTTCTCAGGTCCTCTTCAAACAGGTTTAGATGATTCTTTCCATGCATATATTTTGCAGTCTTGTTTACTATTTAGTGTGAGTTTCCTTGTGAAAATGATTAAGCTTTCTTTGGAACACTGGTTTGATTACATTTTGCAGATCCAGAGGCTATCGAAACAGCAAGGGGAAGGCAAGTGCATTTGTAAGTACTTACGTATCAATTTTTAAGTGATTATTTTCCAGTTCTCTATATCAATGAATTAAGAGCCGGTAAGATGCTAATGGTATGAATCCATGTCTTGAGGCTTTTGAAGTGATTTCCCACTACTGCTGTCAAACATTGCGGATTAGCTTTCTTTTAACTCCTTCATTTGAGGACCTACCTGATTGGAACAATGAGATTCTCTACAAGTAGTAGAGAATGTATGCGTATATCTCTTACAAAAATCTCTCAACGTAAAGACAATCTCAGCCTCTCATCTCACTAAAATAATGGATCACTCTCCACAGGTCACTTGGACAAGTTACAATAAAAGCCCTTACACTTGGTTTAATTACCAAAGTGGATACACAAATAATTACAAGGCATTTCTTAAGCTAAGCTTTAATTAGCTCATAGCTTATACACTAACATGAACTTGAATCACAATTTTATAGGTGACTGCACAAGATGTGTTAACGATGATGAGAAGTGGGCAGGGCAGAGGAGCATAATATTTCTGATAAACAATGGAGGATACACAATTGAAGTTGAGATCCATGATGGGCCCTACAATGTGATCAAGAATTGGGACTACAGTGGACTGATTGACGCCGTCCATAATGGGGAAGGCAAATGCTGGACAACCAAGGTTCGTTGTGAAGACGACTTGATCGAAGCAATTGAGGTTGCAAATGGGGATAAGAAGGATTGCTTGTGCTTCATTGAGGTGATTGTTCACAAGGATGATACCATCATGGATCTCAACTTCAATTGTGTATTCTCCATTGTTTATCAGAAATATTATGCTCCTCTGCCCACTTCTCGTCATCGTTGACACATCTTGTGCAGTCACCTATAAAATTGTGATTCAAGTTCAGAGGTTCAAAACAAAACAATGGTTCTCCCAAATCACTTAACTTGAATATATGTGACCAGTGACTATTGATATTGATCAAATGTTAACTGCTAGAGAGAAGGGAGAAAATTAAGGCACCTGGAAACTCCCATCACCAATGAAAGAAATCACTCGCTTTGTAGGTGCAGCCTGAGCATACCCAAGAGTTGCTCCAACTGACCAACCAATTGATCCATATTGCATTTGGAATTCATACCTGCAAACCCATTATCATATTGCTCAATTAAAATCATAAAAACAAGCATCAAATTAAGATCAAAATTTGTCCATGGCTTAATTACCTGCAACCTAGTGGCAATTTCAGTTTCTGGCAGTTAAACCATGAGTCCCCTGTCTCAGCAATCACAGCTGTTTGACTTGACAACATCTTTTGGATGTGTTGGAACAGAACATTAACCCTCAAAGGCTCTGTAGGAGCACATCTCATAAGCAGTCTTGTTCCATTTAAGCCTCTTTGATAGAGCTTTCAGAAAATCCTTCATTACAACACAACCAAATGCAGGGCCATTTTCGATGGTCACACTATCCGGTTGCACTATGACCGCCTTCTCTTTCTTCAAAAGGGCTGAGTACCCAACAGAGCTGTAGTCATTGAAAACCGATCCGGCAAACAAATAGGCATCTGCAGACTCCACAATCTCATAACAAAGGTGGTGCACTCAGAACCCTAGTATGTCCCAATGAAATGAGGGTGGTGCTCTGGCACAAGCCCCTTTGCTGAAGGCATCACAGCCAGAGCATAGCCACTAGCATCAGCTGCTTGTGCAACTCGGAGTTTAGGCCCACCCACCATAACTGTTTTCACTGCCTTGTCCAACAAGTCTGCTGCTGCTTCCACTGCTGCCTCTAAGGCCATTTGATTATTGAATCTGTGTGACATAGCAAGCCAATAATTGAATCTTTTTACTTACAAGTCACAAGCTTTATATAAAACAATCGGAGAGGCCAAAGTTTACCTGGGAGGCAATGAAATTGGAATAGGCTCAGGGCTAAAAGTAGGATGAGGAATTCCAGCCAAGTTACAACATATGCTTATGAAATTGCCGTGTCGATTAACTCACTGCCATCTTCTAGATTATTTATCACAGCCTGATAAATAAATACCAAAATATATTATTTAAAGAGTTTAGCCGCCCGGCTATACTATTTATAAATAATAATAAAAAGAAGCCGCCTAGCCCGCCTAGGCGGCCGATTTTTCGAAAACTTGAATGGCGTATTTTTTTTGGATTTCCTTATTCCTGGCGGGTCTGGTATCTTTGCAAATACATCAAGCTAGGGTTTTACCGACTCTATTGAAGACATCAAATCAGGTTGAGAGGAAAAATGTAAGGGAGAATAAATTTTTTCAGCGACTGCAAAATGGTTTTTTATTTTTCATTGCTCATAACTTGGACTCCAGTTCTTCAGTTAACTGCATCTAGAATATTGGTTTTGATCATTATTTCATACCTTTCAATCATATTTCAATGCATTCAGATGCTGAAGAACTGTTCAACGAGCGTAAAGATCAATTTTCTCTGGTATGAGCAGTCAAGTCAGTGCAAAACTATGAGGGATAGCTGTGTAAGTTATGCATCTGCGGCAGCAAAGGTAGATGCTTGAAGATGTATTCTCCTTTGAGACATCCCGCAATTTAATTATCGTCAAATTGACTGTAATGTTTAACTCAAGTAAATATGCATTTGATCAACCCTCATAGGGTTCCCTTGCTTGTCGATTGACATTGATTTCTTATTAGTTGCAGATCAGATCATGTATTGGGTTGTCTTTAATTTCTCTTAGAGATTCAATCCCACTCGAGCCTAAACTTATAATTAATGATCCCGATCAATCGTGTCCACTCTCTTTGTCTTCTATAATTTTTGGCATGGCCAGAATGAAGTTGCGAAAGAGAGATTGGTGAGTTTTGGCTCAAAAATGACTGTTGAAATGTGGTCAAGATCATGAGAGAGAGAGAGAGAGAGAAATGGGCAAGAAAGAATAGTTGAAATTTAAAAGAAATAATGGCTGCAAATTTTCCAAGAAACTTCTGAATTTATTTTGTTGAGGAAACATTAAATTCGCCGACACAAATCTATGTTAAGTCCGGTTACGTTGTACTAACTCAAGATTGAGAACGAAACATTAATCGTAAAGCCCTAGGTGAAAGTTATGTGATTATCGAAGCCTAATCGAGTCCTACGTACAGTGGGTTTACGATTAAGTTTTGAGGCTTGGATTAAGGGTTTGGAGGCTAAAATTCATTTTTAGAATACTAAAATAATTTTCTAGGATTTTTAAATAATTGAAATAATTTTTAAAATAAAGAAGGAAATTAAAAATAATTTTTAAGTTCACAAAATTATTTAACATAAGTAAATATAACAGCAAATGTTACAAAAGTCAAGTGGCCACACCCAAAAAGTTTTCGTTTGCAGCAGGATATTGTGTGACTTAGAACGTGGATGCTCTGCCTAATTTGAGGTGAACTTTTAAATTTGCAACACCTTAACTTAAAAAAAGAGGTCAAAGTAATTTAAATCTTCTTTATAGTGAGAAACAACATTACACTTGGATGATACAGCCTACCAAAGTAAATTAGGGCTAAGGGCTCTGCTTCCCTACAAAGTCTGCTGATCACAAAAAGTTTAGGGAAGGCAATATGCTTCCATAGGAATAAAAAGTCTAGGATCTCTTCTTTGCGTTGATGAGGTAGAAAATAGGAGCCTTGTCAGAAAAGATTCTTCGACCATCACTGGAGGGAGATTCGTACTTCCATGCAGGACCTAGAAGCCATGATGTGGCAACTCCACCGAGCAAGCCTCCAAACTGAGATTCAAATGTCACGCTCAAAACAAAGATGAGGATAACACAAACAAGAAGGAATTTTAGTGCAGACATGGAAGGAACCATATGCAAGCTCGTGTGTTTCAATTCGTCTCACAGATCCAGATAGGTTGCCTCAAATGATTATTTCACCAATACAACGCTATCCATAGAGACTCTTCACATTTGTTACAGTTTTATGGCTAATCTAAAAAAGGCAGAAAAGAAGTAATCAAGAAACTCAATCATTGGCACGAAAATTAATGATTGTGCTTTACCATGGGACTCAGAATTCAAATCCAACTGAAAGTTGAAAGAGAGAAAAATGAGGTCCAAATGTTCCACAACCCTAATTAGCCACATGTGCATGTATGTGCGTGCACATGCACAAGTGTGCGCATGTGACAGTGTGGGGAGGGAGTGGAGATAGGGAAGAGAGAGATCCACACGCACATTCACACACTAATTAGCCACTTTTCTTTGTCTATTGTCAAAAATTAATCAAGGGATACAAAGTGAAGGAGGTTCATTGAAATTCAACGCTCCTAATTTCTAAACAAAGCATTAATTAGGAGTGAAAAAGAGAGCAAGCATTCTTGTTCTACTTACATGTCCCCAGTTATCAATGCCTTTGAAGAAAAACCCCATAGCCTGCAAAAACAAAAACAAAAACAAAAAGTTACGTTTATTTATCCATTTATCCAGCCAACATAAATTGGAAGGGGAGCTGATTAAGTTATTAAGATAGATAAAGGACTGAGTTGGGCAAAACTTAAAGACATAGTAACCAGAGAAGGAACATACCATATTTACGGTAATTACATGTGCTATGTGCTGTAGATCTTCTTTTCCACGTCCAACCAGACCTCTATGCCTCATGACGAAGACAGCAAGAGATCCAACCTAAATCAAAGATCAGAGCCAGCGGTTTGATTAATTATAGGAGATGAGAAAGAGCAATACCATGCCAGAATAGCTTGAAAGAAGATTCACTTGGCATTCCATAACACTGAGTAGGTACATAGGCAGATTTTTAAATTTCAATATATAAAGATATGAACTAATCTTCCTTTTGTCAAAGCAGCGTGACACTCACAGAAATGTTTCTTTTTCATTTATACTTATTGTTTCTCTTTTGGCGGAGGAAATCCTGTAAAATGATATTCAGAAGTTGCAGAGGTTTATTTTGAAACAAATTTAATAAGTTAGCAGCTGAAAATTTTCATGAAAACTGTAAAAGAGGAAGCTATATATTAAATGGTGAAATACAGGAAAAGGAAAACAATAAATCTTCTGAAGACAGATGAATAAGAAATGGGGAAAAAATAAACAAGAAGGAAATAATTGCAAGAACATCAACTTTGCTTGTGTGACTGCATGACAATGAACCTGATTTTACTGGATTCCTCTACTCTATTGCCATAAATGAATTAAACCAAGATTATCTGGCAGGTTATATGGTGCATCTAGGAAATCCAGAAAAAGAGTCCGGCTAAGGAAAAACAATAAAATGTCTTACTAATCCAAAGACTGCCCCTGATGCACCAACTGCAGGTGCCTCACTGAACCAATAACTCATCGCTGAACCTGATTTTCTCGAAACCACTGAATCAGAATACTAGTCGCTAAGCAATTTTTATTGGCTATTGTAGATAGATCATAAAGCTGTTACTTGCAATTGCAGAGGCGAAGTAGAGTGCAAGATATCTATTAGGACCACTGATGTTCTCCATGGTAGGACCAACTGAATTTAAAGAATAACAATTAACCTGAAAACATACGCAGACACAGAAAAACTCAGATTGAAATGCAGACATTAGAATGCCAAGCCGTAAGATTCAAAGCATACCATTAGGTGCCCAACATTTGCATGTAAAAAGGAAGATGTGACCAGCCTCCACAATTGCCCTTTGTCGATGAGCCTATTTATCCATGGACATTGTCTTTTGCTGATTTCATTTACTTTTTGCCTTACTTTGCATGCCAAATTATTTGATATTTACATCTGATATGCAAGTTAAGCACTTGATGTATGCATTTTGCAGCTTCAGCAGTAGGACCTTTCTACAAGGAGATCCGTTTCTTGGAATTTTCAGGATTCTTGATCTTTTATCTCCTCTGTTGGTTACGTTCATGGTTCGTTTTCTCTATGCAAAGGAAAATTTGCAAGGCACACAAAAACACCACAGCACAATGATGTGCCATCCTTAGTTTTGTTTTGGCGAGGATGGTAGAGTGTCCATGTGAAAAGTTTGACACAACAGGTTCCTTATGCAACAACACATATAAAAGCGATTCAGGAGATGATTGCAGGTCAAAGCCAAAAAGGTGGCAGGCCTATCATCTCTGTTTTACATTTGTGATGTTGTAACTACCGGAAGGTCATTCCAAAGGGAAAACCTCCTAGAGATAGTGTGACCAGTTGAAGAATACTTAGCTTGCAGAATTTTCAAAAAGAACCTTATCTTTTTGAGCATTTGCAATGCAAGGCAAAGTAAAAATTGATACACAATTTGTATAGGTTAGTATCATATACTTGTGAAGGGGCGATGACTACATCTTTGTATGAAAAAAAAATTCATGGTGAACCATTGAGTGGCCTGATCCCTTTTTGGGTGCCTTTTGTTTTAATCTTTTTTTTTTTTTTTTTTTTTTTTTTTTTTTTTTTTTTTTTTTTTTTTTTTTTTTTTTTTTTTTTTTTTTTTTTTTTTTTTTTTTTTTTTTTTTTTTTTTTTTTTTTTTTTTTTTTTTTTTTTTTTTTTTTTTTTTTTTTTTTTTTTTTTTTTTTTTTTTTTTTTTTTTTTTTTTTTTTTTTTTTTTTTTTTTTTTTTTTTTTTTTTTTTTTTTTTTTTTTTTTTTTTTTTTTTTTTTTTTTTTTTTTTTTTTTTTTTTTTTTTTTTTTTTTTTTTTTTTTGGTTTTTTTTTTAAAAAAAAAGGGGGGGAAAAAAAAAAAAAAAAAAAAAAAAAAAAAAAAAAAAAAAACAAAACCCCATTAAAACGTGTGAAGGGGCGATGACTACATCTTTGTATGAAAAAAAAAAATTCATG